TGTTTTACTTGGGGACCAAATACTCACTGAACTGCAACTCAATTTATAATATTTTTATCATGTGTTTTTTCTGGATTTTTGGTTGATTTTTGGTTGATATTCTGTCTTTATCATTTAAAATACATTCCCCGCTGTATAGTGTGCTTTAGGGGTGTTGTAAAGCTAATGCTTCTCAGGGTTGCTTCCTGTTGCTACCAGTATCCATGCTAATATTACAAAACTCTGCTTAATCATACAGTATTCCTTAAAGAGGAACTTCTCCCGGGTTATACAAAAGTAAGTCATCAGCTACAAGTACTGTAGCCTCCTGTGATGTATAACATGATCCCAGGGGCTGTGGGTGTGGGAGCACCCAGTGGAATATCATCCTTGCCTTGGGGATGAATGAGGAAGTGGGTACCCTACTACCCTCCCTTAAAAAAACCCCAAAACCTTCTAAATATGTAAAAGGGAGGGGGAAGGCTAGGATTATTATATGGATTAAACATGAGTGAAGGTCCACTTTGTAAATTACCCTCTAAGTGACTGCAAGTAACTGCAAGGCTAGTGTACATTGAGTTTGAGTTCCATTTGTGATGGGCTTGTGATGAGAATGAAGTGTTTGCCTTGTATTCATGTTTACCTGTAAAGAGGAAAAAAAGCAATGCCCTATCTAACACAGCATAGACCCATTAATATGGTCCAGAACCTAAAGTATGTTTGAAAACCATTTACCATTTCCTACCCCCATATAGTTGAGCATTAAAGCAAAATAGGAAGTAGAAACAGGGTCTATAAAAAAGATATCAATGGGAAGATATATTGCAGTAGAATCTTTAAGTCACCCTAATGTTGCATAACGGCTTACTCACCTGTATGTGATATAGTGAGTTATTATATTCCGAATGAACTTCATTATAGAAGCCTTTTTCAGAACCTGTCTACCAGCTGAAAATCAGATTTTGGTGATTATTTTCATATGTTATGGCGCTGTCCCAAGCTATATAGATATCACAGGTCTTTAACACAACGGAGCAGGTGTTTCAGGTTAAAGATCCCTCATGGCCCAAAGATCGGCCATTTCAGATACTTGGAAGAGTTGTAGCTTTTAAGAGGGGTGACTGGTACCTATAACTCAAGCCCTGGTTTTGGCTGGCCAGTTAACTATGCAGTATTACAAATGTTGAAATTCATCCATCATTTAAAGAGGCAGATAGCACAGGTATACAATAAGAGTTGTGAACTTAATTGTATCTAAACCCAAGAACACATATATACTATATTGTGCCCTACCACTTCTTAGGGGAGGTGGCTGGATTCATTTTTTTTTTTCAGGCTTTTTAGTTGGTAATCCTGCCAGTCACACACCCTGTCCTAGGATGACAATGCTCTATCGTATCTATGAAGTAGCATGGTAGTCACCCTAGGCTAACAACCACTCCTTCTCATCTCCATAACTTAAGGCAGAGTTGTTTAGTTCTCCAGCAAAAGAGAAATGTGCAAGCCTGAAAACTCTCTGTGACCCTGAATGAATGCTTGTAGAGTGCCACTCCAAGCACCAGCTTAAAATCATCCAGGGACCCCCCTCCTGTTGTCAGGTGCCAGGATCCAAAGAAAACACGTCCCGGCTCTGCATGCACATCTAGTACATCTAGTATAGAAGGTTGGATGCTGCCCACTATAGGCTGTCCAGTACAAGAGTGGAGAAATGGCTTCAGCCTGTTTCCTCGCAGTCCAGCCCCGCTGACACATTTCACCCTTCCACAGGACTTAATCATAGAAGTACTCTCTACAATGATGACAGCTTAGATTGAAAGACACCAGTTGCAGTTGTTAACTGGTGGCTTTAAAAGTGGGCGACGTTTATAAACGTAACCTCCACATATGGACATTATTATGCAGAGGGTGGGCAGAAAGGTTTAAGAAAAAGGAATATTGCTAACATTTAAATATATTATGCATTGTGACATTAGGTTTCTTTCATGTATGCACATTCTTTTTGGCAGGTGGATTACAAACTGTAGGTGCCACCTCTGATCCACCAGTGACCAATGCAACATCAGGACATATAACACCTCAAAATCCCACCCTTTCTTCAACAAGTCAAGGTTCTAGAATAACTTCTGTACATGGAAGTCCAAGCTTGTATGGGAATGTCTCATGCCCACAGCAGAACATGTACAGTAACATAAATCAAGTACAGCAGCAAACCAGTCCAAATCATATGGGAACAAGCCCAAATGGCAATGTCTTGCCACGACAGTCAACAGTTACATCAGGAAACAATGTAACTTCTTTTGTTAATCCAGCAGGAGTCAACCCTCCACCATTCAGACCTGGTCCAAATCATGGAAATAATTCAGTGGCACTAAGACCACCAAACATCATCAATAACACAACAGCCGCACAGAAGTGGATGGGTCCAGAAATAAAAAGGCAGGACATGGGGAGCTTCCCCAATCAGTTTTCTAACCAGGCACTTCAGGGCGTGATGTCTCATCAACATTTTCCTCAGCGCAATCTCTCAATGCCCAGCCAGGTCAATCAAGGTCTGCAAATAAATCAGTTGACATCTGCAAACAGTGGACAATCTTTGGAACCTCTGAGAAGTTTTAATCATGGACAAAGCCCTCAGAGATCTCAAATCCTGACCAACATAAGCCAGGTTGGTGGAACTGCCACAGCATCAACCAGCACATTTAATCCCACCGATCAGATACCTAGAGCTTTTCCAAGGAGTGACTCAAATAACGACTTGGGTTCCTTTGATTTTATTTCACAGAATGGTGGACTAGGCTCATCGCCCAGCAATGACTCAGACTTTATTGATGCCTTATTGAAAACGGGTCATATCAATGATGACTGGATGAAAGACATCAACTTAGATGAGATTTTCAAAGGTCATACATAAAAAATTTTCAACATATTGAACCTCATGCATAATGTAGAGAAGGGAAGTGAGACCCATAACTGCCAATCCCCTTACAACTATCTCCCCTGGATGTTAGAAAATAAGGCAGGTGTCTAATGGGCTTCTATAGGTTGTAATTGCTTTCCTTTTCCTCTAAATCTTTTACGTTAGGTCAACGGTGTTGCTTTATCCCAATAGCACTATTAAGCAGGCATACTTAGTTGCTGTGTATTAAATGCCCACAGTATTGTTATTTTTTATGGTAATATAAAATTATTAAAGGGCAATTCCACCCACTACTGATTATTTCAGAGAAATTTCCCTATCTGAATTTTCATTTTCTATAATAGAGGTTTAATAAATCACTGGGTACTCCAGCTGGGAGAGAGTGACTGCCTCCTTTGTTATGATTTTGTAGGAATAAATGTAGAGACACCTTCTGTTTGGTGGTTTAGATGTATCTCCAGTAGAAAATGGTTAGAACCCCTGCCCTGTTTTTTTGCTGTCTGTGTATGCAGTAGGTAGATTTACCCTCTTTATTGCTCCTGGTGACCACTGTCTTCAATATGGAAAGTGATGGGAAATAAAATGTTACAGTTATCACCAGAACAAAAGGCAAGAGGAAGTCTTCCATTTAGGGCACGTGTTCCAGTGCGAGCTAACAGGGGGTTCCCCTTCCTTAGTCCTTGATTTCCTCTCATTCCTTGCTGTGTCCCTGGGGTAGGAAGTAACAGACCCACACAGCAAAAATAACCTAAAAGTGGTTTAAACCCTTCCCCACTCTATGCAAAACTAAGAAATATTTTGGCTATACATTCACGGTAAAGAAGCCGGTGATTACACCCACCTATGCCAGCCTAGAATGCATATTTAAGGTATGTCTACAGCCAAATTCTTTTTCTTTTTCCATTTTGGATAGAGTAAGGGAAGGTTAAAACCAATGTTATTTTGCCATCTACTAGGGAGATTTCCCTTAACTTCCTATTGACTAAGCAGGAAGTCAGAGGATATCTATCTTTCTAATGTCTTTATTAAAAGTTTTCCCCTCTCTGTCTGTTCTGGTGAGAACTCAACAAATTGGATTTACTATGCATTCCATGTGATATCGGTGATCAGGACAATTAGAGTGAACTTCCCTAACAAGGACACAGACTGCAGTCAAAACCTGGCAGTGATTCTAACCCCTCACCATTCTATCCAAATTTTTTTTTTAATTGCCTTTACTTATATTTTAGCTGACCTTGAAAAGGAACTCCAGCCAAATAGCAAAATTATTTGAACTTCTAATGCTGTACAGAAAGGATTACCACTTTGTTTAATCCAGATTTGTATTACCTTACCTTGAAGTAAACCTGGCACAGTGCTGGTCACTTGAAAATGAGGTTATAATGAGCAGATTGGATACGCAGGCTACTCTTAGCATGTCAGAACGATTAGTAGATCCAGAGATTTATAAAGCTGAATTATTATGCACATCTTTTCCTACAGAAGTCAAGTTGCCCTCTGCCACCCCCTGAGCCTCTCTATTGCTCACTGAAGTATCTGGTGACCTTATGGGATCAATAAGAAGGCAGGAGGGGCAGGGCTAAACATGACTTTTCTCCAAAGTATATATGTGCATTTAAGTTCATATCCGATCCTATCAAGTGTTTTGACATCTTTATCCACTTGCTCTCCAGAGGATTTACTCCCCTTTCTAACCAGACCATTTTTTGCGTTACAGCGCTGCGTTACTTTAACTGACAATTACGCAACGCTGCACCCAAATTAAATTTACTTCCATTTTTTTCCCACAAATAGAGATTTCTTTTGGTGGTATTTGATCACCTGTGTGGTTTTTATTTTTTGCATTATAAACAAAAACAGACCGACAATTTTGAAAAAAAAAAAAATATTTTTGACATTTTGCTATAAAACGTGTCCAATAAAAAATTTTAAAAAAATCTAATTTCGTCATAAATTTAGGGCAAAATGTATTCTACTACATGTCTTTGCCAAAACAAATCCCAATACGTGTAAATTAATTGGTTTGCGTGAAAGTTATAGCATTTACAAATGGCGGTATATATACTGGAATTTTGTTTTTTTTTTTACTAATAATGGCGGCGATCAGCGACTTATAGTGGGACTGCGGAACTGCGGCGGACATTCTGACACTAGGGGGAACTGACTTGGTGTCACTGACATCCCCAGTGACACCAGTACAGTGATCAGTGCTTATAAAAAGCACTGACACTGTACTAATGGCACTGTGCAGGAACGGGTTAACATCTGGGGTGATCAAAGGGTTAACTGTGTGCTGTGTTTGTTTTACCATGAGGCTGTGTTGTGTGCTTTCCACTGTAAGCATGCTGCTTTGTATGGCTGTGCTATGCAGAGCCACACAAAGCAGCGTGCAGGAGCTGACAGGGGAGAGAACTGTATTGTTTACATACAGTTCTCTCCCCCATTGGTAATACTTGGCGATCACAGGGTGCTGGCGAGTAATCACTGGCTGGGACCTGGTGATTGACAGCTGAGGCTGCGAATGGAGGTGCGGGTAGGGCGCATGCAGGTCGTGCGCGCCCCTACCTGGAACTGCAAAGTCACATATATATACGTGATTTTGTGCACTCATGCCGCCTTGTAGCAGTATTTCTGCTATAGGGTGGAGGGAAAGTGCTAATATAATATAGGGTGTATTTATAAAAAGAAAAATATATTATATATATACATACATATATATATATATCAATCAATTCACTTGTTTTTTTTAATTCATTGATTTAACGACTCGTGGACCCTCCCCCCTTGTATATATACTACAGCAGAGCGGCCCCTCTGCACTGGTTCATGTACATGTACGTGATCCAGCATTTCCGAGCATGCCCCCTGCCCCATCTGTGTTGTCATTCGGCACAGCACAAATCTATCAGCAGGTCCTGGCCGATGATTTATGGCTGAGACCTGGCTTAGCGAATGACAAAACAGTTGCATGTTTACTAACAACACAGGGCTTTGTACACAGCACAAAACAGGAAGATAAATAGTTACATCTCTTATTAATGCAGCACCCATTACACTTGTTAGGCAATTAACCCTTTGATTGCCCCAGATGTTAACCCCTTCGCAACCAGTGTCATTAGTACACTGACAGTGTATAGTATTATCACTGGTCACTGTATTAGTGTCTCTGGAGATGTCAGTGTCACTTAGTCAGTTCCCACTCAATGTCAGTTAGTGCCAGATTGCCTGCCACACTATCACAGTCCCACTATGAGCTGCTGATCATCGCCATTACTAGTATAAATTAATACAAATTCCAGTATATATACCATCGTTTGTGGATGCTATAACATTCATACAAACCAATCCATATGTACCAAAGATATGTAGCAGAATACATTTTGGCCTAAACTTATGAAGACATTTTTTTTTTTATTGGATATGTTTTATAGCAGAAAGTAAAAAAGATTGGGGTGTTTTCCTTCAAAAACTTTGTCTTTTTTTTTTTCGTTTATATAATGAAAAATAAAAACCGAGTGGTGATCAGATACCACCAAAAGAAAACTCTAATTCAATGTTGCATAACCGCACAATTGCCAGTTAAAGTAGCACAGTGCCTTGTAGCAAAAAATGGCCTGGCCGTGACGAGGGTAAAATCTTCTGGAGCTTAAGTGAATGATAGGGAAAATACTGCATTTGATGGCATTAAGTATATAGGAATTCTTGTGATACTTAACACTATCTAGTGAAATTCTCCATTTTAAATTACAAACATTCGATTGGCACAGGAAATAGCCTGATAACATTTATTTTTTCCCCATTCACACAGTGTCCATACACTTTCAAAAGGTAAATTGATACTCATTTTTTTCTGTATAAATACAACCCTATGAGCTGTATTAACCATGTTTTTGATAGGTTGATTTTGATGCAAGTTGTATGTAATGTGCTTATCATAAGTAGCATGTATGAATACTTTGTAGGTTGACTGTGAGATCAAATCTCAAGGTCAGCCATTTCGAAAAGGTGGCAGTCTACTATCACATATACCAGGGGTGTCCAACCTTTTGACTTTCCTGGGCCACATTGGATGAAGAGGAATTGTCTTGGGCCGCACATAAAATATAATAACAATAAGGAAAGCAGATGTGCACAAAAAGTTGGGCAGATCCCAAGTTAACGGTCACTGATATAGATAATGTACCTATTTGAGTAATAAAACTTAATTTTTTGTAATTGTTTTTATTATAAAAGTAAAAGGGGGCAACATAAAACTGGTGCGATATTTGATGGATGTAGTAGCAATTCTCAGTGAGTTCTCAAGGTGCTCATTAGATATTTTGGTTCTAATTTTGCTCTTTGCTTCATCCTTGAAAATAGTTGCTCACAAATATAGGTGCTGCCCAAAACTGATGACAATATGGCGTGATTGTGAATAGTGGGAGACTTTTCTTTGGGAAGATAAAACTTAAAAATGTCCAATGACAAATTTTTCTTTCTACGCATTTTTATGAAAAATTCCCCCCAAAAATCAACATTTTTAAGTAAGTTTATGATTTTGTGTTGGGTCACATTCATAGCCTTCTCTAGCCACATGTGGCCCCTGGGCCGTAGGTTGGACACCCCTGATATATACTGTAAAAGTTCTTAACTTGCAGCAAACTGATGAATAAAAAAGTTCAGTGGGGAAAGGATCTGTTTAACTAATCTTTTGGAACCAGATCCTTCCTATTCATAGTGGGAATGAATACACAGTTAGTGTCCAAGCTGTAAAAGCCACACATTGCACATTTAATAATCACCTCCTGCCTTCCCTTGACAAGCTTACTTTTGCAATGTTAGCCGAATGCATTTTGCCTTTTCTGTGTCAGCTGAGTTTACCAGCAGACCGACGTGACCTTGCTTTGTAATCCAAAGTGCTGTACCCAACAAACAATACCCAAAACCACATCCCCAAACTAAGAAGTCGCTGGGATCATCGCCAAATCGTATTGATAGACACTGACATCTAGTGGTAGCAATAAAGAAGGGCACGTGGGGCTTATTCAGCAAAAGGTGTAGACTGCCATCGCTGACTTATATCTGGAAACAGTTGCCTGGCTGTCTTTGTTTCATGGATCCAGCTTGCGGCAGCTGAAGTAGGACTTCTTCCACTAATTCCTGGTCAGCAACTGAGAAATGATTGAAGCTGTAGAATTATCATGACCGGCAGACAACTGGCATTTTCAGATGGAGAGGTCAGCAGTAGCAGCATGCGTATTCTTTTTGGTATACCTTTCTTTTAGGACAAGTGCAAAAAATAATAATGATGTACAAATTGCAGTAAACAAAAACAATAGCCACAAATTGGATACCATCACTTAAAGTGACTCCGTTGATGGGGAAGTTTTTCAGCCAAAAAGTCTCCTGTAAAGGAAGAGAGTTCACCTGGTTTGTTGGCCATCCATGGACTCCTTCCTCTGCTGTAGTTTGCCACCTGAATAATCCTCAAACCTGACATACTTCTGGGTGTGTTGAATGCTTGCGTCCTTCTGCTGTGCTCTATGGGTTTCCCGCTAACCCCTGTGTCATTACAGGAAGTATGAGTTAGCAGAAGAAACCAAGGTCAGTTGTAGCTGCAGGCATCCCAAACACTGTAAAGATCATTAAAGTCGTTGTAGACCTCAGACATGAAATATGAACAAAGCATATCTCTCTACAGTGTGTACTTGTCTCAATCCAGAGCACTAAGTGTCATTTCTGTCTTCTGCCCTGTTCCTTACTATCAGCATAAATCACTTCTGACAAGTTTTCCTGACACCAAAAGAAAAATGGTGACAGAGGAGGGACCTCTAGCAGATTGACATTTCCTGTGAGCGGTGTGGGGGAGGGGGGTCTCTTCTCTCCATTCAGCTGCAAGACTTCCCCTCACTAAGCTCTGCAGTGTGTAATTTCAGCTCTCCACCCCCTTTTTTCTGAACTCACAGACAAGCTTTATAAATTCTGGACTCTAAACAGATGTCGAGAAATCAAGACTGCAGATAGATAGGTTTCACCTGAGGCCAGTCACTGACAACCACTTTAAGGGCAGTGTAGCTATGAAAGAGGGAAGATTCCATGAACAGGCACCAGTAGGGATGGCAGAGGGATCAGAGCATGCAGTTTAGCTCTCCTTTCTCTGTTTTGCCTATCACAGGCTTGGCAGAACAGAGAACTAAAGCAGCAAGACATTATCAGCAGTCTGGAGTGCTGGTGACCACTCATTGTTCTACTGTGATTTATGCATCTGCTACAGTCACTACCAGCACCCATCTATTACCAGGGTCAAACACTGAAAGGAGTGCGGTCCTCATCCTTTGATTTCAGAGAACCGATTGCTTCCAACTAACAAAGGGGTTTGCACCTTGTTTTGTTAATTAGGAGCAGCATCAGCTCAATTTTCTATGTTTAGAAGAGTGGGGCAAGCTTTTGCTTGCACTGCTCTTTAATTTCCCCCCAAATCAGGATTTTTTTTTATTTAAATTGGATTTTTTTTATTTTTATCAAATTCATTTTAATAAAATGCTTTTGGAGTAAAAATATATCTAAAGATATTTTTCTATTTAAGATACATTAATAATTGAGTTTATTCAGCATGACATGGAGCTTAGTTACGTAGCATGAGGCTGTATATTCTGCAATATTTACATTTTTGGTAAACTCATTCAATGAATCCAAGCTCTGTAAGCTGAGATAACATGCACTGCATTGATGCATTCACACGATTTCACAGTAACCATGAGAAAAACATGAAATAAACAAATTTGAGTCGTTCTCCAGCTCTGTGTGATTAACCTATTAAGCTAAAATCGGCTCTGATATCGCTGTTTTACTGACCTGACAGCTTATTGTTCTAAAAAGGAAACCTTCATTTTATTTGCAGATATTAAAGATTATAACTACCAGCAAGAATGAGTTGGATTCCTTACATTTAAAGAGCACCTGTCATTTTAGATCCATCAAGGTAGCACCTGTTAGCGGGCATCCACTCACCTGCTGCCGCCACGTCCCTCACCTTGTTGTGTCACTGCCGCATCATTAAAGTGAATGGGACTGTCGGTGAGTCAACAGCGGGTCAGAGGAGGAGTCGCTGCGGGACAGAGATGACAGTTGCTCTTTAAAAATTATGATTTGATTTAAATCGAGCCTTTTCACTAGTGATTTATATCATGATTTAAATCAACTTGATTTAAATCAAGTCCACCCTGCCCTCTTCTTTTTTTTTTTTTTTTAGATTTTGGCTGACATTTTTTCCCCCCAGCAGGGCCACTTTAATCTCTAATCTACTGTCATTTTGAATTATTGCACTTTGTACGTAATTTTTCTCTTTCAATTGCCTTACTGAATAAGCTTGATAGTGGCTGTAATATATGTACATATATTTATATATGTTTTTACTATGATTGCAGAAGAAGGGATTGAATCATTGTAAGATTGTTCTGTTGGCACTGTGAGCTATAAATA